GCTACAACGGAGCTTTTGCTCATATAGGAAAAAATTTGTTCGATCAAAGTCCCCCATTCAGTTTTTGCGGCCCTATATGAGCAAAAGCTCCGTTGTAGCGACAGTCTTTGTTGAAGTGTGTCTGATCAATCATGGTTCGATGGATGTTTTGCTGAGTTAGGTAGATCCGAAATTCCTCAAGTAAAGCCTTTTGTTTTAAGATATTACCTTTCAGTCTTTGCTAATACCCTTGCACAACGGTAGACTCAACCAATAAAAATTAAACATAAGAAATCAGAATTAAAGAGTTCACTCGCTCATACGTACGTGTCATACTGTGAATTACTTGGAGATTCAGAGCGAAGTCTAAATAAGTGAGGTTTACTTGGTTACCGTATTCTGAAAGGAATGGACTTATTTCACACAAACAAAACGTAAATTATTTCTCGTAGATCCGCAGCAAGCAAACCTCGTCTAGTTTTAATATTTGCTGCTTGGTTTCTATTGATTGATAGAAATTGCTGTTGTACAATAGTATTAGCAAAAACCGAGAGGATTCTATTGTAAAAGAAAAAAAATGTAATCTTGCCATACGTCAAGGTTATTAACGCTGTCAGTTTATTACCGAATACAATATAAAGAAGAAAGTACACTCAATAACAACATATTTATACAACTTCAATCAATATAGGGTATAAAGTCGCTATACACAAAGGGTTTGCGTTCGAAAATGAAGTAAAGTTTGTTCGTTCCCTTACTGGAACATATGAAGATTGTGTTTGAGTACAAAATACTATAGAAAAACAATGGCATCGTACGAAATATTTCAGGCTACTTGCATCTAAGATAAAAATATGCTAAAAAATGGTCCAGACTGAGCTTTTAGATGTTAGTACTGCATTGGTGAGATTCTTTCGAAATAAAAATATAAGGGCAATTCTTAACATCTGTCTGTCTCAACGCCGATATGTCAGTTAGAAATGTATCATGTTGCAGGAAATTATTTATAGTGAGATATAAGCAATAAGTAGTTCTAAAAGTAATTCAGTTTGGATGAAATGCTACTTTTGAAAAACGAAAAAATAACAAATCGTATGTGTTTAGATCTGTCACAATCACTACAGCAGCCTAAAAACGAATCACTGTTAATGGTAAATAATAATAGTTCAAGTTCCCATCGTATTAACGCCAACAATTACTCATTGAGTACTATCATGAGCACGATGAAAATCCGGTCTTCGATAACCGACATGAAAGTTGATAATCAGAATAAGCGCGATTTTAGCGAAATATTGACATGTTTGAATAGTTCATTACAGTCAACACATATTGAACACGAACAACAATCAGTTGAAGAACCACCTTTAAAACCCGTTAAGGTTGATTCAGCAAGTGAACGGTTATCGAAATCTCCAGTTAAATTTACACAAGAAGAATTACGCTTAAAACTTGAAGACGTCATTCATAAAATGTTGGCAACTGAAGTGTCATATCCATTCAGACAACCAGTTGATCCTGTAGCACTAAATATTCTAGTAAAAGAGTCTGACTTGAAGAGTGAATCCCTAGCTTTTACATTATTTTGATTTTAGGATTATCCTTTGATTATTACGCATCCGATGGATATTTCGACAATTCATAAGAAATTATTATCAGCCGAATATGACAATCCGTTTGATTTTGTTGATGACATGTGGCTGATGTTCAACAATGCATGGACCTATAATAAAAAAACGACAAAGATTTATAAAATGTGTTTAGGAGTAAGTGGGATCAGTAGTAAAACTTTGCTTATCATATTTATTTGGAGATATCGCATCTGTTTTTCAGAATACATCTGTTAGTTGTTCAATAACGATAGACACAGTGTTCGTTTTGAGCAGTTCTGCTTTTTTCTCAGTTTCACAAAGCATCTTATTTTTCAGCTCTGTGAATTATTTCTGGAGACTATTGATCCTATTATGCAATCAATGGGCTATTGTTGTGGTCGGCAATATGCCTTCTTGCCACGCGTCATATTTTGTTATGGTAATAACTTTTGCTGTCAAATAGCACCTAACAATACCTATTACTATTACAATAACTCTGGACGATCAAGAATAAATATGACCAACGACAGATACATGTTTTGCAATGAATGCTTTGATGCAGTCAACGATGAAACGATCTGGGTTGGTGATGATCCAAATCAATCGTTGATCGCATTACGAAAATGCGATTTTATACACGCTAAAAATGATGCACAAGAGCCTGAGTTCATGATCAGTTGTACTGTCTGCTCAAGAAGATGGCATCAAATTTGCGCATTGTATCTCGATCAAATAAGGCCGGAAGGTTTTGTATGTGAAACATGCATCAAAGATCACAATATTGTTCAAAAAGATAATCAGTACGTTGCGCATAAATTGTCGATAACTGAATTATCTAATAAATTAGAACAACGTGTCAATGATTTTCTACGCATGAAATGTGTTAGTACTGGACGAGTGACAATTCGAATGTTGAATGCATCCAATAAAGTGTGTAAAGTGAAACCGAAATTGAAGAAATATTATCCAAATCAAGTACCAGATGATTATCCATATCAAGCAAAAGCAATATTTGCCTTTCAAGAAATTGATAGTGTCGATGTTGTGTTTTTTGCTATGCATGTTCAAGAATACGATAGAAGATGTCAAGCACCAAACACAAAGTAAACTTTCAGGTTCTTACATCTACCTATTTCCAGCAACAGATACAAAATCTCTCTTGTATTGTCGTATTCTTGTTGGTTTTAGGCGTATTTATATTTCCTATTTGGATTCTGTTAATTATTTTCGCCCAAGACAATATCAAACGGACATTTGTCAAGAAATATTGATTGGCTATTTGGATTACGCAAGACAAATGGACTACCTTTATGTACATATATGCGTGCGTCCACCGAATGAAGACGATAACTTCATATTCTATTATCATCGACTTGGGGAACGTGTACCAAAACCAAAAAGTCTACGACAATGGTACCAAAGAATGTTAGATCGAGCCATCTCTGAACATATCGTAATTGATTACAAAGTATTACTCTTGTTGCAAGGCATTGATAAAGTGAAATAGTTATCATAATCTATCTGTTTCAGGATATAATGAAAGATTGCATGGATAATCAAACTGAATCCGTATTTGATATTCCGTATTTTGACGGTGATTTCTGGACGGACGCCATTGAAGAAAGTATTGAGAGTAGGTGATTTCAGATATGTTGTACTTGACAGAATTATATTATTAAATGTACTCGAGAAAACTGGGTTCGTCACTTACACGCGTAACACCCTTTATTCGAATATTTAAGATACGAAATAACATCCTGTCCTTTATAAGGACCACGTTTTAAGCAGTTATATCATATGATTTCAAAAGAGTTTTCAGATTAGTAGAAGTTTCTATGAGTACTGAAAATATCAACATTAAATTGTGACGTACAAAGCTTTGTGCACTCATACATTCCTACTTCATTTTGGCATTCTCGATCTTTTGCTACTTAATGCTCATACAGCCAAGTTAAATTGCACGTGTAGTAATTGTAAAAAAGCCCTAGTGAAACTTCTTGAGTCAAGAACAGCAAAAAGTCGTAATTTCTTGCTGTTCCTGACGCAAGAAGTTCCACTAGGGGCATCTTTATTTATTGATTGCGACTCTTTGTTTTACACGGAAAGGAAAATCTTAGTAAACAGAATTTTCAACTTTTAAAAAGATCAATAGTACTGTTACAGTCCAATCTATCCGCACAGTTTGCATCAATCCATCGAAATGTATGTGAGTTCAGAAGACGAAAACGCCAAGCACACGTCTGAATTTAACGAGCAAAACATGCTTTTCATCAAAAAAACGTTTTTATTGTCCTATATCCAAAATCGTTGTTGGATAGTTATGCGCATGGAGCGCAATGAGATTTCCGAAAAAGAGAAACTTGACCCAAGTCAAAGTACAAACTTCGACGAGTCTCTGCAATCTGAAAGAGAAAGTTTAATCTGAAAAAATCGGAATTTTTTACTTTTTTGCATTTCTTATATAGACTGACAACCGCAAAACAAAAGGTGATTGTATCAAAACGGTTTTTTCTTGTATCGCGGTCTGAAAACTATCGTGCGGTAACCGCTGGTTGAAGAAAAAACCGTTGCTAAACCGGTCGTTATACCGAACGATACGGTACGATACTTTTTGATTATATTTTGTATTAATAGTATCTCCATGACAACCGATAGTGTGTAAACCATTATGATCTATACTGACTAGCAACTCTATTATCTTGAACCTATTTAGACAACCTATTATCAAATAAAAACTTGAACCTTTCTACAGTCTGCATTTTTCGATCCTTTCATTTCTAGATTAACTCAGCCTAATAATTTACAGCTTAACCATTTAAAGAATATAATAATCCTTCATTATTAATTGGGTAACTAAATTCTACTTTGCTTAGTTGAAAGAATAACTTCCGATCATATCAATGCATCGCATCCAAAGAAAAAAGATTAATTGAACATAAGTACAAGAAATAGATCACTATATCTTACGTTTTTTCTACTCTAACTTCAAACATCACCTGTCTGCATAATTCATCAATTAATTATATTTTAAGAGAAATTTCAATGCTATATATCCAAATTCCGTGAACACTATCAGGGAATGTGCACATTCCCCGTAACATATACATATTACCTGTTATGTAGTGTAGCTGTACGGCCAAAGTCTAACTGAACATTTTTCTTTAGAATGGCTCTAAGACAGATCGAAACGTAGAGGATTTTATTTAGTAAACAATAAATAGTTCTTTTATTTGTTAATTATGAATGTTTCTGGAGTTCAATGGAGTAATTTCGTTGACTTGTCAACGGAGCGTCATTAGTTTTGAGTAGCATCAAAGCATAGATACGGAAACGAGAAATACGAGAATTTATTCTCGATTTAGAACTTGAGCAAGAAGAAGAACGTCGCGGGAAGGGAATGGGAGTCAAAATGGTAATGCAAAAACGACTTTTGGATGATCCAATTGAACCAGATGATCTAACTAACGTATGATTAAATATTTGATCAATGTATAGAAAATCGTGACTGTTTTGCTTTTTAGACTGCAAATGAATGTATATCAGCGAAAACAAATAAAAGAAAAAATCTGGAGAAAACAGCTAGTGCACGAAAAATAGCTAAAATTGAAATTTTAAACCGTTCTGATCTATTATCAAAAATATTTATTAAGATGAAAAAACATAAAGAGGTCTGTATCGGTGCAGAGAACGATACTTAATCAATGTTGTGATTTTATTTTATTAGGTCTTTTTCGTGATACATTTACGGTGTGCATTGGCAGTATATCCAACAACGAAAAATAGTGATGTACTAATTCATTGTAAGTTGATGGATACACGTGATACGTTTCTAAATTTTGCACGTGAGAAACAGTGGGAATTTTCCTCTTTACGTCGAGCTAAGTTTTCCACAATGGTCTTGTTACACGAACTACATTCATCAACGAGTGTTAAATACACATACATATGTGCACACTGTTCTCAACAATGTGATGATCAATACCGTAGTGAGATGTACAATTTTGATCTATGTGAAAAATGTTATTCTCAAGTAAAACATGAACATGAAATGGCGCGGATTGTGCACCCGTCATTAATCAATGTCAAAAATGATGAAAACAACGTGAATAATTCAAGTCCGAAATCACTGATTTGTCCAACAGTGCAACGACAACAATCGATGCAGCACTATATAGAAACATTGTTACATGCTGCCAATTGTCAGAATTTCAGTTGTTCCTATTGTGGTTGTTTACTTTTTAAAAGAGTTATTCGACATACAAAAGAGTGTAATGAAAAAAAGCGTCAATGTAATATATGTAAACAAGCCCTATTGCTATTTTACTATCATGCTAAAATATGTGAGGAACAAAACTGCCAAGTATGTCTTAAGATTTATTGGTTGATAATCTTATTTATTAGGGATTGTTTCAGGTACCATTTTGTGAAAAAGTAAAAATTAAAATACGAAAACAACGTTTAGCTCATGATCAGATACGGTGAGCCAAATAAGTGTTCGTCTAGTGGTTAAAATGTTAATTTGTTCACTTTTTTATCATTATGAAAAACAGCACTTCATTCACCATTCATTAGGATCATATGTAGCTTCATAGATGATTTATTTGAGATTTTATAACGAATATTTTCGCGCAGTAGGTGCCATAAACGATCGTCTAATAGTTTGCAACCTTTTCTGTGGAAACAACAGGGTTAATAAAGATTTTTCAGACCAAAGTGTCAGCTTGGTGATGGAATCAAAATTCATGAAAGAGCTCTTTTCCAAACTTTATAATTTAAGTTGCTTGCAATTTATTAATTCTGCATAAATCACTGCTATTCAGGACTCTACATTACAGGTCTCTGTTTTTTTTTACATTTTACTTATGTCTTGTCATTTTTGAGGAGAAAAACCTCTCCTTTTTTATGAATTTTGGTGGATTATTTTATCATTGAACGAAAACTTCTTTGACTTACTGCAGATCACCGCGAACACATAACATAATGGACAAACAGTCGAATACAGTTCAGCAAGGTACGTGAGTGCGTGGAAAACTACTATAAGAGAAGTTGAAATCGTCATCAAAATTTTGTGCAGAATTGGATCCGCTCAGGTGTGTATGCTAACAAATGACTAGTTAATCGATGATTGGCAAGTAGAACCGCTTGACCGATTCTGACTGTGATGGTGCGAGCTTTCGAGATGAGAAATCTGATGACCGAGATCTATTTTGGAACTAACAGGTGTTACAGAAAGAATGGTGTAGTTTTTATTTTTATTTTTCCTTCGTTCCGTTTGCACTTACAGAGCTCATCTTATTGCCAAAAGATTCCACATTCATTTCTCCACAAAGTGCTGCACAGAAGATGATCCTAAGGTTTGACCGCTGTCTTAATTAAAAAAAATCGAAATATCCTAAAAACTGAAAAAATGTAACACTAAAAAGTATATTTCGTTAGTATAAAGTTGAACGTATCTATTGTATCCAGAGCAAGTAGACTAAAATGTAGCCCTTAAAATTCTCTACCGATTAGTTGTAATGCGAATTTTCTATCGTTATTTCTGTGTTTTCAGTAATGTTTTTTGGAAAAGCTTTATGACCGTTTTTTCAGCTTTTTCAACCACTTTGGGGCTGTTTATAAAATGAACATTGCTCAGACAAAACTAAACCAACCAGGTTCATTCTTGCGTCATTTCGAAGACAAATGTTTGGTCTACTCGACTCATGTGCGAAGCGTTTGATGTAACTTTTCTAAATAATGGAGATGCTGAAACTAGCGCATTTTCTTCAGTAATGACTGCCAGTTATTAACTAGTCATTTTTACCACATCAGACCGATGGGGATGAAATGAGTCTTGCGTCATCTAAAAAAGGACATCCAAACTTCCTAACAAATGACGTCTATCTTCTTCCTATCACATTCAGAATGGAGTTCAAACCTCAAAATTATTGTCGGAAAAAATTAAAACGTTTTAAGTTCCTAGCACATTTCGATGTTTCTTTAATTAAGACAGCTTCTCAAACCGTAGGATCATCTTCTATGCACCATTTTGTCCAGAAATGAATTGGGAATCTTTTGGCAATGAGATGAGCTCTGTGAGTTCAAAGAGAGAGGAGAAAAACTGAAAATAAAAACTACACCATTCTTTCTATAACATCCATTATATGATTAAAAGATTAAAAGTATCGCTTGGCTATGTGTGATGATCTCATAAAATAAAGGAGAGCGCATGGAAGTTAACAACTTCTCATTTCTACATTGATGTTTTGTACACACATTTTTCTCTCACAGGAATAGCAAAAATAACAACGTTCAATGATTTGTGTATTGATGTTCTCTATGAATTATTTGAATATTTTAATGCACACGAATTATATCATTCGTTCTACAATTTAACTGCATGTGTGAAACGCATTATCAACCATTGTTCTCTGCCACTACATCTTGAGCTATCAACCACGATTTCATTCAATTATTTTTCTGAATTTATTAAACCAGCCCTTACCGAATATCCAAAACGATTTATTTCTCTGAAACTTATCGGTAGCGTCGATATGCCTCCTCTTCTTCTTTTGACACAACTGCAATCCCTAACAACATTAACGCTTATTGAACTGCATGCCAAAGACATGATTCCGCTATTGAAGCAACTACCTCATCTATCTTATTTAAATATTCATAATCATTGTAAGCATTCCAAAGCACTGATTACAACAGTATTAAAAAAGAAAACATTAAAAACATTTATCTTTAAATCATTAACAGCTGGACTTGAATTACCATTGACAACCCAAAACACATCGAATATCGAACATTTATCAGTTCAGATGGGTAGCGATTCTCTGGGTGTTTTACTATGTCATTTACCAAAACTTCGATATTTAAATATTGATCTCAGTAATCCCTGCAGTTTCAAGAATGCTATGTCTGACATTCCAATAATGTCATGCATAACCAAGTTAAAACTGGAAATACATCACTTTCCAATTAGCTTTGTAAATCAATTATTTAAATCAGTGCCTAATCTTCAATATTTGCATTTTATTGGAATGACTTCTGATAAAAAATGTATAGATCCTTTTCAATGGGCAAACTTATTATCATCTATGATCGGATATTTAAATCGAATAAAGCTCAATTTACATTGTTGGTATTTAATTAGAGAAATTCCTGATTGCACTGAAGTTATACAAAAATTTCGAAAGAATAAGTTTATACAGCAGCTTGATATTCAAATCTATCATCCGTTACTTTTCGGAGAATCTGTTAGTCTTCGAATTATGGCTAATCATAAATATCCAATTTAAATACTCAGATAGATTTTTTTCATTTGAGTGATTTTCATTTAATCAAACTTAAGTGTAATACATAAACAGGACTAACGAAGAAACGCTTTCAGATGATATATCAATTTTCCTATAAAAACCATATGGTTACAGGTAATCGATAGTGCCGATTCCAAGTATAAAGCGGGAGTTGCCCTTAGGGCTCCAAAGACCTAGTTTTTCAGAATGTTTTCTGTAAATGACTTTCCGATGGGAAAGAAAATAAGCTAAAAAATAAGCTTAATCAGATAGAGCTTAATTAAATTTTCGCCTTAGATCTGCCGTTCTTCGTATATTTGATAACCCAATAAAAAATACTACAAGAACATCTATAGACAAGGAATACTTATCTAACGCGTTCAACAAACTGCAAAAACGGCACTAGTTTACATGTCTTTGCTCTTTTCGCCGCAAATAAACCTTTGCCATAAAGTAACATTTAAGACACTTAAGTGAAAAATTTATTGATGCAAGCGTATAACTAACAAGCACGATGCATCTGTCTACAGAAATATGGTTGATGCAAATGTCTTACCACATGATCATGCTTGATCATCTGAGTGAGATAGGAGGCTAAAAAGCTAATCACTCACAATTAGTTAATAGTTGTTATTTCCGCATATTCTATTTTTTTATATATGAGTGAATAGCATAGCCATCGTACCGTTTAACGAAAAAATCTCGAAAAATACATTACTTACAAAAAGGTGTTCAGAGTGTCGGGTTGAGTTTTACTACAGTAGATGTTAACTGGAAAACCTTTTTCCCGACAATTTATAACCACAAAAGCGAAAAAACGTGTCTTCAGTGCTACAATCAGCCAAATCTCCAAGGTGAATGCGGACAAAATCCAATTATACTTAAGAGAAATAATAGGTATTATGCATGAATGGATAGACCTTCATAATCCAAGGTCGATGATGCTACTTTCAAACTTTATCACGTAAATTTTCCGTTGAAAATGACAAAAACGAAAATTTTTAGCTGAAGGGTGACTCTTGAAAGTCGTCACTCACACTTGCTGAACTAATACTTTTGAGCTCTTGGTTAAACAGAGCACGTTCAGCCGAATCGAAGGGTGTATCATAAGTTTCATTTTGGTTCAATTTTCATTGAAAATAAGCATGTAGAAATCTCACACAGACATTTTCGCGTCTTTTTCAAATTTCTCCTGAATGGTGTAATATTTTACATTCATTTTTTTGCCAAATATCAAATCGCATGAGATCAAAAGATAATCAAAGTCTGAACTTGATCTGAGTATTATTATCGAAATATCAAAAAAACAAAATCAAGAATCTCCGAACATTTTGTGAGAAAACTCTCCACTTCCAATAATATAACAGAATTTTCTGTACAAAGAAAGTACTTTTCAAACTATATTTTCTTATCAATTTCTCATGTAATCGAAGCTGCATCGATTCTACTTATTGACAATAATTTCGAGTTTTTTCTTTAGCTCGACATTACGCTTTGAAATCTCACCGGCATAAACCTAAAGTGTGTAACAGAACGAAGATCAGCTTCATTCTAATTGGAATTTTACCTCTGTCTATCAAATGATGTAGAATTGCAGAGAAAAATGTGGACGACACAATGGAAAAGCAGTATTAGTCTTGGAAGGTCGGGTATATTAGAAAAAATCCTTGTTTCTCGGTAAACGGCGTTAAAGGCGAGCTAACGTCGAAATGCGAGAGATATATTTCGTATACGATAAGACACAAAAAGGTGCCTTCTAGCTCAGTAGTAGGCCTAATGTAGGGAAACAAAACGCAAAAAAGGCAAAATTGCTTCAGAGAAAAAAGAATTATCCTTCTATTATGTAGAAAATGAACGATGCAATGACCACACGATTCATTCATAAGGTGCACCGTTCGATAGAGAGCATTGAGTGATCACGAATATGTACTCTTCGTTTATCTGAAGACTTTTTATCCGTCCTAAAACTGGAAAAACTCGAAAGGTATCAAAAACCGAAAAAATGCAACGTTTCAAAAAAATGGACGTAGTTTTTTCGCGTTTTGGTTTCAATGTTTGAAACTAAGTTTTCTAGATTTAGCATCAAAAACTAAATCTAGAACAACATATTTCAAGAGTTCAGAACGAAAAATGGATTTTTAGTAATGCCCGAAACAGGTACGGCTAAAAATCCGAGACCAGTTTTGCAAACCTAACACAGGTTTTTAAAACTGCACGTAATTTCTATCTAGCCATGTAACAGCATTGGCTTTGGAACATCTAGAAAAACCTGTGTTAGGTTTGCAAAACTGGTCTCGGATTTTTAGCCGTACCTGTTTCGGGCATTACTAAAAATCCATTTTTCGTTCTGAACTCTTGAAATATGTTGTT